ATTTGTTGGGGGAGAACAATGAACTGTGCACAAAGCAGCCAGTCGCAGAATCACAGCAATCCCTTCCACAGTCTGAAGCACATCTGCTGTCAGAATTTCCTTCTCAAGGAGAGATATTAAGGATGCAGCTTTCTTAGTGATGGTATTCCATAGAGTGCTCTTCAGTTTCATATCAACAGGACTAAGTCTGTAATTTGACCATATTAATTATTTGCCAACATATACTTTAGTTCCGGAAAGTCCTCATAGCAAAACCAGAGTTCATTCATGTTTGACACAGGATTAGGAAAATACCAAATGAAGCTTTAGCTTAGATGTGCTCTTTGGGAGAAAAAGATCCTGGCTCTGAATTTAACTATGACTCAAATCACACTTATCTGAAAGGCAATAAAGGTGCCAATCCTCTTGGTGACAATAAAAAGGCAAATGTTACACCCATCTTTGAGAAAGGTAAAAAAAGAGGCTTCAAGGAACTACAGCCCTGCCAGCCTAACCTCAGTCCCTGGGAAGCTTATGGAAAAAGTCTTCCTTGAACTCATTTCTAGCCACATAAGGGACAAGAAGGTGACTGGAAACAGCCAGCACATATTTACCAAGGGCAAATCATGCCCTCAATTCCTTTCTGCAAGGAGACAGGCAGCTCTGTGGACAAAGGAGAGCTGCTTTTTCACACCTCATCTGGCTACAAAACTAGGCTTACAAGAACCTCATGAAGGTCCATAGAAACACATGACAAGTCCTGCAACTGGCACAGAAAACCTGATGTAACAAAACAGACTGACTAACTAGCAAGCAACTTTGGAGAAAATGACCCGGTGGACTTGTGGAAAAGTTGAATATATGAACAGTGTGACCTTGTTGCAAAGGTAAACTACATACTGGGCTGTACTCAACAGCGAAGGCTGATCACGAGCCACATCTGGAGGACAGTAGGAGTACAGTATGCTGGAGCCAGTTCTGAGTGCCCAAATACAAGGAAGACATCAACAGCTGGAGCAAGTGCTAGACAATCAGGGTGCTGAAGCACAGCACAAGCAGAAGCTGAGAGCTGGCTTTGTTTAGTGGACAGCAACCTGACTTAACTAGACCTGCTCTAAGCACGTCCAGTGTAACAGCACAGCCATGCACAAGTCTGTCATTCTGTAGTCTCTCAGTTTTTCCATTTTCAGTTGGTAAAAGTGAAAATAAGTTCTGCTGAACATACAAGAAATAAAGTCTTTTTAGCTAAAGCTTGGCTTAAAAATCACCTGTAGATTTTCATCCTTTAAAATATCATTTAGATTTTTTTTCCCGGAAGATCTTTCAATCTGGCTGTTATGAAGAAACTGCCTCAAAAAGTTATCTTTTATCATTCACTAGCCAAACTACTATAAAAGTAGTTATTGAGCAAGGGTCATACATTAAAGGTGCAGGTGATTTCTTTGGATGCTTTGTGGGTAGGCTTAGTCGTCGTCTTTTCTCTGGAACTTCATCACTGCTGCTGCTCCACCCATCACTGTCAGAGGTCTCTAGCTGGTTCTGATGAAGCTCCTGAAAGATTTCTTCCACTTGTGTTTTTAAGGCTGTATAAAGTGGACTCAGCAGATACTGGGATGGACAAACAACAGAGTTACCACGATGTATGCTCTACCTTACTTCTCTAATGTAGCATTATTGTTTCGGACTTAAAATATAACATTTCAAAATATTATGGTAGCAAAGTTCTTGAAAACCTTTCTGTTAAAAAAACTTCATTACAAGATGAAAACTCTCATAAGCAACGAAACTTCCTGTGCTGCACCAGACACAATGCAGCTTGTTTCCCAGTTCCTGACATATTACCTTGCTGCCAAAGCCATCAAGGCAGACACACAGAATTTGAGAGACAATAGATATGACACACATATGCATGTACGTGGTAGAGGGAACACTCTCATCACCTCATGATTTCTTTTTAACTAAAAGAGGGTTCATTTTGGTTGAACATAAAGAGGAAATCTTTTATGAGGGCAGTGACATGCTGGCATACGTTGCCCAGAGAGGTCCCATCCCTGGAAACACTTAGGGTCAGGTTGGACAGGGCTCTGAGCCATGACCTAGTTGAAGATGTCCTTGCTTACTGCAGGGGGTTGGACTAGATGGCCTTGGAAGGTCCCTGCCAACCCAAACCATTCTATGGTTTTATTTTAATTCAAACCTTTCTGCCTGCCTGTCCCTAACAACTGTGATAAAAGTATATGGTTAGAAAGAGCAGAAATGGCAACCACTTGTAAAGAAGGCCTCATATGAGCATACTCTGTGCCTCACTCCCATTTCATAACAATTACAGACAGACCCTTCTGCCTGCATAGCTTCTCAATAGCTTAATACATCTAAAAAACAGAGTCAAGCTACATCCAACTGATTAAAGAAATCTGATGTGTACAGATATGTGAAACAGTTGAGAAACAAGGAATATTGACCTAAATATGCAACTAGAAGTAGCATTTCCTAAACTTTCTTCTTTGCACAGGTGTAGGGTTTTGTATATGATCTATTCACACAGTTAATACAGTTTTTAAAATTAACCCACCTCTTGTTCCTCCTGAGTTCCAAGAACATTCACAAAAATTCCACATATGGTACTGACATGGGTTTTTCTTATTTGTAAGGCAGATTCGTAGCCAGCTGGGACAAACTCCAGAAAATACTGCAGTATATGGCAAAAAGCAGCTCTCAGCTTTTCAGACTGGAGACACCTAAACACATCTCCTTCAAACAATGCAGAGAGCTTCTCTAGTAGCATATTCAAGTAGACAGGTTCAATATTTTTGTAAAAATCAGCTTCAAGAGGCAACAACGTCCTCACCAACAGTAAGAGTGGTTCTCCAAAGAGTTCTGATTCCTCAGTGTCCATTTCAAGTGCTGACTGAAGAATTTCTAAAAAGACTGTGAAGAAAGCACTGGCCAGTTGTTCTGGAGGTCCTCCTAAATGAATTAATTTTACTAAAAACTTCATTGCCAGAGTTTTAACTTGTGGACTGCCATATTCCAGCAGGGAGCAGCCTATCCCCCAGAGAATAGTATCTTGTCTTACAAAAAACACATCTGCAACAATATCTGTCAGAACAGACATTAGCATAACTTCCAAACATTCTACATTGGGCAAGCCCATCAGCTGTAATGGTGCCAATCTTAAATATCCCACTTGGTCACTTATATTGCTTGAAAATTGCTTGATAGTCACTGGCCAGACCAGTCCATCTCCCCAGAGATGCTTCTGTGCATCTCTTTCATGCAAGACAATTAAGTCTTGGAAAAGCTGTAGCAAGTCTTTAGTTAGTACTTCAAAAACGGAGCAACTCTTCATTTTAAACAGAAAAAGTAAAGAGCAAATGACATCACAAATGTTCTTGTGCAATGTGTTGCAGTTTGGAGTTGCAGCAATTCGGAGAAGCCTTGTTATGATCCAGTTACTAAATTCTAGGACAATAAAAAAGAACAAGCAAACATAGAATTATTAAGATAAAAATCAAAATCTCCTATTGAGCACCTCTCTGAGAGCAGGTTGCTTAACAGTAAAACAAAACTCCTTGAGATAAATGCACGTTGGCTTAGTAAACAAATAGCCTTTGCTGGGACATTAATTCAGCAGATCCGACTGAAAAAG